TCAGTCGACTATCACCTGCGCAGGGCGGGATTGGGATTCCCGATCTTAAGCGCGAAAGTTTGGAGCAGTTCAATGCCTCGCTTGATATAACAGCACCACACGTCAATTCTATTGTTACTCAAAGCTCCACCATTCCAGCAAGAGAGCTGATGGAGGAAAGGATGCGTGAAATCAATGCTAAAAGGAGTAAAGTCTGCAGAAATGTGGAGACAGAGCCACTCCTGCAACCACTCGACAATGAAGTATTCAACCTTCAGTCCACTGTTACAAGTCGAGAAGCGAGGCTGGATATGAAGGCAGGAGGTTTTTGGACACCAGGAGTAACGGCATTCTTTGACGTACGTGTAACGCATGTTAACTCCCGGTCCAACCAGGGCAAGTACACAGCTACGATCTTCAAAGAGCAAGAAAACGAGAAGAAGAGGAAATACAACCAGAGAGTGATGGATGTAGAGATGGGAACTTTTACACCACTGGTGTTTGGTGCAAACGGGGGCATGGGACTCGACTGTCAAAACTTTTTAAGAACTCTCGCAAGAACTTTCGACTAAGAACAATGAACCCTACGCCAGCGTTATTTCCTGGCTTCGAATACAGCTCTCATTTGCTATATTAAGAACTGTACACAGATGCGTCAGAGGTTCTAGATATCCATTCAAATCACGTGAGGTCTCAGAAGACTTCACTTTCGCTGTAGCTGGTCTACATCTGCACTCATAATTTTAGGCCTTGCTTTTTCATAGTTTTTTCTTAGTAATGCTTAATTTTCCTTTGCCCACTTTTAAATTATTCACAATTGTAAATAGTTTTCTATCGTAGACATATATTTAGTTTTTAATTTGTAAACGATACGATATAGTTTAAAATTGTAAATATTACTTATTGTTCTGATACTTAAATAAAGATTGGCTTAGTTATTATTATTATCATCATCATCATATTAATTATCATTATTACTATTACCGTATATAATGTTTTCAAGACGGGAACCTCCTTCCCAGGTTCTCTCAAGGCAGGGCAAGATGTAAATTTGCGCGCTTTACGAAGCATGTTCTGTTGCCAATATTCCCAGGAGTCCTGGGTACCAAGAAAGAATCCGGATACGTGTAGACGTGGAAAATTTTGAGTCCGGAAAGAAAAAGCCCTTTCCATAACTGTTAACGCAAGTTTAACATGGGCTTCAACGTCGATCTTTCTAAGAATATTAAAAAACGTATTATTTGCCTTATTGTAACTTAATCAAGGGAATATATTACATCAGGACTATATGTTTGGTTACCAATGGTGGCTGTCACCGTAAAACGAAATGGAAATAGGCATCTCCGAATGACCCAGATTCCTCTAACCTCTCGCAAAAAATCCCAGTTTGACATCTCGCAACAACTGACCGCGTATTTCATAATGACTGGTACAGAAAGGCTCGAAGGACTTTTATTAATAGAGTGCTTTAGATTCTGAGACGAGGAAGAGGACGAGGACGATATTTTCTCAGTCAGTACTAAGTAGTTAGTGCTGTTGCGTGAGCCGACGTAATTTTGGCAGGAAAAGGTGATAGCCGTCGTCATTCTACTACGACTTTTAGTTAGAGTGTCGTTGTGGCGGGGAACAAGTTATCAAATTTTAAAAGTTCAATCATCTTGGAACCGCAAAGGGGCTAAAACTTCTTCAATAAAAATAACCGCACTAACTTTTCAGGTGAAAAGTAGTACAATGAAGCTCCCCGGGTTGAATATTTTTCGACAATACGCGAAAAAACTTTAAGTTAAATCTTATACTCGTAGTCGCCCTCGTCCTCAAGTCTACAGCTCTCTATTTTATTATCATCTTAACAATCAGATGTGAGAGGTCCAGTGTTAATGTAAGCTAACCTAGAGTTTAGTAGCTTGCTCTTGTAGGGGGAAATCCTCATCTCCGTCGTCTCGCAGTTCTTCCAAAACAGCTTTACTTGCTTTATGCATAAGGTAACACTTGAAACAGCCTCCAATCAAAGCAATTGTTAAAGCAAGTCCACCAACACAATATCCGACAATTTTCAAAATGGCTCCTGTGGACACTAAACAGAAATACAGAAAACTGTACCTCAGTAAAAAGTGCCGGATGAAAATAAACAACGCCACGTTACGCTATCTGAAGTGCACACTATTTCAGCGGGTGTTAGATCAAGCTATATTGAGCGATGCTATCACAACAGTTTACATTATCTGTTACCAGCTCTTATCTTACGCCAAAAACACAATTTTAGCAAATTTTGTTGAGGTGCTGCTAAGATTATTCTGTGACATAACAGGGTGCTGTTTCAGAGACACACAAGGACATCTTTGCAACAATCTTGGAAATCCCCACGTGTTTCATGAACTCGCCATTTTGTCTAATTGGGGAATATGTCCCCCGAACACTATTTAACGTTTTTCAGCTCGCGAGGAGGAACCAACACAAACGTCCTCTATCGCGCAGAGAAAAAGAAACCGACGTAGATCCTCAGCAGTTTTCCTGACCCTAAAAGGGTGTCTTTAAGTCCAAATGGCTTGAAGAATTTTCATGGTTAATGCATATTTCCACCGATGACCACATGAAATGCAAGACATGTGTAGATGCAAACGGATGTTTGGGAAAACCATCTCAATCCTTTGCACATGGTGCAACTAATTTTCAGCGATCAGTCTTAGATCGCCATCAATTGGGAAATGAACATACCACAACTGTGCAAATCAACAAAGAAGATCTGACGAAAAGTTCATGTGGAAGAAAAATCAGGTAAGGCTTTTAACGCCTTTAGTAAGAACGGCTCTGTTTGTGGCAAAGGAAGAAATTGTAGACCGCGAATTAGGCCCTCCAACTCTTGTAATCACATACACACAACGTAGGTCTTGGGACCCTTTAAAGCAAAAAGGACCTTCAATTTCCTGGGACCTCTAACTTTTTACACGAGTGGGAACTCTACCATTCAGGGGACACTTTTGCTCTCCAAACGTAACTGAACACAAAGTGGGTAGATAAGTTTACTTGCACACTTATCACAATTATGATGACAGCTTTCACAGCATGAGCTATCACACTCAAATTTGTGTAGTGCACTTGTGGGAACTCAACACACCATATTGCATGGAGAGGTTAATCGTGATTTTCACTTATTATCTTGCTGCTTTAAATAATGAATGCAGCATATTTTCTTTGTCTGATTAATTATTAACAAACACAAACCAACCTCTACTCAGGGGGACACCTCAAATGAGGGGACACTTGCCCCAGTCCCGAGGGTGTTCCCTGTATACTATGTAAGGGAGCAAAGGTGGCGTAGTGGTGAGAGCACTCGCCTCCCACCAATGTGGCCCGGGTTCAAATCTCAGCGTCGACGCCATATGTGGGTTGAGTTTGTTGTTGGTTCTCTCCCTTGCGCCGAGAGGTTTTTCTCCTGGTACTCCGGTTTTCCCCTCTCCTTAAAAACCAACACTTACAAATTCCAATTCCAATTCGATCTAGAACTCGCGGACACGTTTCAACGAGTTCTCATGAACTCCTAAGTGCGCCGTGGGTAAACAAATTACAATTTAGAATTTTGTCCCATTCGTGTACACACCCGTCGGGTAGGTTGCTGTTCAATAGAAAAGTACCATTACAAACTTACTTTTCGTCTTGTAGCTGGCTTTAAATCCAGGATACTTTGTCTTTCCACTGGATTTGAATGTCAAACGCATATCCCAGGAATCTGATGTTATCGATTCAGGTATATACTCATTTGCTATATTAAGAACTGTACACAGATGCGTCAGAGGTTCTAGATATCCATTCAAATCACGTGAGGTCTCAGAAGACTTCACTTTCGCTGTAGCTGGTCTACATCTGCACTCATAATTTTAGGCCTTGCTTTTTCATAGTTTTTTCTTAGTAATGCTTAATTTTCCTTTGCCCACTTTTAAATTATTCACAATTGTAAATAGTTTTCTATCGTAGACATATATTTAGTTTTTAATTTGTAAACGATACGATATAGTTTAAAATTGTAAATATTACTTATTGTTCTGATACTTAAATAAAGATTGGCTTAGTTATTATTATTATCATCATCATCATATTAATTATCATTATTACTATTACCGTATATAATGTTTTCAAGACGGGAACCTCCTTCCCAGGTTCTCTCAAGGCAGGGCAAGATGTAAATTTGCGCGCTTTACGAAGCATGTTCTGTTGCCAATATTCCCAGGAGTCCTGGGTACCAAGAAAGAATCCGGATACGTGTAGACGTGGAAAATTTTGAGTCCGGAAAGAAAAAGCCCTTTCCATAACTGTTAACGCAAGTTTAACATGGGCTTCAACGTCGATCTTTCTAAGAATATTAAAAAACGTATTATTTGCCTTATTGTAACTTAATCAAGGGAATATATTACATCAGGACTATATGTTTGGTTACCAATGGTGGCTGTCACCGTAAAACGAAATGGAAATAGGCATCTCCGAATGACCCAGATTCCTCTAACCTCTCGCAAAAAATCCCAGTTTGACATCTCGCAACAACTGACCGCGTATTTCATAATGACTGGTACAGAAAGGCTCGAAGGACTTTTATTAATAGAGTGCTTTAGATTCTGAGACGAGGAAGAGGACGAGGACGATATTTTCTCAGTCAGTACTAAGTAGTTAGTGCTGTTGCGTGAGCCGACGTAATTTTGGCAGGAAAAGGTGATAGCCGTCGTCATTCTACTACGACTTTTAGTTAGAGTGTCGTTGTGGCGGGGAACAAGTTATCAAATTTTAAAAGTTCAATCATCTTGGAACCGCAAAGGGGCTAAAACTTCTTCAATAAAAATAACCGCACTAACTTTTCAGGTGAAAAGTAGTACAATGAAGCTCCCCGGGTTGAATATTTTTCGACAATACGCGAAAAAACTTTAAGTTAAATCTTATACTCGTAGTCGCCCTCGTCCTCAAGTCTACAGCTCTCTATTTTATTATCATCTTAACAATCAGATGTGAGAGGTCCAGTGTTAATGTAAGCTAACCTAGAGTTTAGTAGCTTGCTCTTGTAGGGGGAAATCCTCATCTCCGTCGTCTCGCAGTTCTTCCAAAACAGCTTTACTTGCTTTATGCATAAGGTAACACTTGAAACAGCCTCCAATCAAAGCAATTGTTAAAGCAAGTCCACCAACACAATATCCGACAATTTTCAAAATGGCTCCTGTGGACACTAAACAGAAATACAGAAAACTGTACCTCAGTAAAAAGTGCCGGATGAAAATAAACAACGCCACGTTACGCTATCTGAAGTGCACACTATTTCAGCGGGTGTTAGATCAAGCTATATTGAGCGATGCTATCACAACAGTTTACATTATCTGTTACCAGCTCTTATCTTACGCCAAAAACACAATTTTAGCAAATTTTGTTGAGGTGCTGCTAAGATTATTCTGTGACATAACAGGGTGCTGTTTCAGAGACACACAAGGACATCTTTGCAACAATCTTGGAAATCCCCACGTGTTTCATGAACTCGCCATTTTGTCTAATTGGGGAATATGTCCCCCGAACACTATTTAACGTTTTTCAGCTCGCGAGGAGGAACCAACACAAACGTCCTCTATCGCGCAGAGAAAAAGAAACCGACGTAGATCCTCAGCAGTTTTCCTGACCCTAAAAGGGTGTCTTTAAGTCCAAATGGCTTGAAGAATTTTCATGGTTAATGCATATTTCCACCGATGACCACATGAAATGCAAGACATGTGTAGATGCAAACGGATGTTTGGGAAAACCATCTCAATCCTTTGCACATGGTGCAACTAATTTTCAGCGATCAGTCTTAGATCGCCATCAATTGGGAAATGAACATACCACAACTGTGCAAATCAACAAAGAAGATCTGACGAAAAGTTCATGTGGAAGAAAAATCAGGTAAGGCTTTTAACGCCTTTAGTAAGAACGGCTCTGTTTGTGGCAAAGGAAGAAATTGTAGACCGCGAATTAGGCCCTCCAACTCTTGTAATCACATACACACAACGTAGGTCTTGGGACCCTTTAAAGCAAAAAGGACCTTCAATTTCCTGGGACCTCTAACTTTTTACACGAGTGGGAACTCTACCATTCAGGGGACACTTTTGCTCTCCAAACGTAACTGAACACAAAGTGGGTAGATAAGTTTACTTGCACACTTATCACAATTATGATGACAGCTTTCACAGCATGAGCTATCACACTCAAATTTGTGTAGTGCACTTGTGGGAACTCAACACACCATATTGCATGGAGCGGTTAATCGTGATTTTCACTTATTATCTTGCTGCTTTAAATAATGAATGCAGCATATTTTCTTTGTCTGATTAATTATTAACAAACACAAACCAACCTCTACTCAGGGGGACACCTCAAATGAGGGGACACTTGCCCCAGTCCCGAGGGTGTTCCCTGTATACTATGTAAGGGAGCAAAGGTGGCGTAGTGGTGAGAGCACTCGCCTCCCACCAATGTGGCCCGGGTTCAAATCCCGGCGTCGACGCCATATGTGGGTTGAGTTTGTTGTTGGTTCTCTCCCTTGCGCCGAGAGGTTTTTCTCCTGGTACTCCGGTTTTCCCCTCTCCTTAAAAACCAACACTTACAAATTCCAATTCCAATTCGATCTAGAACTCGCGGACACGTTTCAACGAGTTCTCATGAACTCCTAAGTGCGCCGTGGGTAAACAAATTACAATTTAGAATTTTGTCCCATTCGTGTACACACCCGTCGGGTAGGTTGCTGTTCAATAGAAAAGTACCATTACAAACTTACTTTTCGTCTTGTAGCTGGCTTTAAATCCAGGATACTTTGTCTTTCCACTGGATTTGAATGTCAAACGCATATCCCAGGAATCTGATGTTATCGATTCAGGTATATATGCTCCACAAAACTTTCCAACTAGTTCACTCGAATCAAACTGGCCATCACGGACTTCTACATAATCATCAGAACAGTCACTGGATCGAGACAGATTGAAGTAATCAAAGGATAGTGTTATTTCGTAATTAGAATCCACAATGATGAGCCAGATGCACTTGACATCGTCATCGTAAGGTAGAGGATAGTTGTAGCTTGCAAGTTCCCCAGTTTTCGTCTCTAACCTGGTAATGTCGAAGCGTTCAGTACAGGAAATCGAAGCTGGTACTAAAAATTAAAAAATAAAATGGTATCAAATGATCAGTTACTTTGTAAGCTCCCACACAGACGTTCCTAGGGCTTCCTGTCGCGTTCCTTCCCAACGAACATTCGTTATTGACCAAGATGACTGGATATTGGCCAAGTTCGTTTTTGCATTTTTACGCACCGAGAAGTGGAGCTAAATAAAAGGCAACGAAGAAGAACGAGGCCAATAACCAGCAACCTTGAACGAACTAGCTAACCTTGGGTTTCAGAGACTTTTTCTGCACGATTTTAGGGGTTTGGTCAAGTCTTAAGAATGACCCAGGCTTCGCCGCTCATGGGTTCCGCTCGCGCAGACACCAAAGCATTTCCCCTCACACAAGCAGGAAACCTCTGGTACCCAGGGTAGAACATGCCTGGTAAATAAAGAATTTTTTAATTGAGGAACCAACTTGGGAAATCCCAAGCGGGCAGGATGAGCCGGCCGAAAGATTTACTTCATCTTTCCCACTCGTGGATTCAGATGTACAATATAAGAAGCTATGTGTTCAAGTCAAGAAGAGGAAGCTTAAACAACAACGACGGCGACGACTACGAAAACGTCACTTAAAAAGTGAATTCGCGCTGCCTCAAACTTTATCGCGCTTATTCCAAGCATCTCGTTTGATTCTTCAAATGTTGGCCAAGTGTTTTGGAGTTGATTCTAGAGGACTGTTTCAAAGTTCAAGAAAAGAAAAAGAAAGTTGTTGTCTTGTGTTCCCGTCCTCGACAAAACGTGAAATTAGGCTAAGAAATGTACAAAAAAAGTGTAAAGCACATGCATAGTGTTGTTGTTTTGCAAATATAACCTATTACATTTTTGCCGTTCTCGTTGCCGTCGCGGTCATCGTTGCTTTAAGTTTCTCAATATCATGCAGGGAAGTAGGCTTGGCGCATCAAAATGGAACGAGCGAAAACCGTGAGTGTTTTGGGCCCAACAGGTGCCAAGCCACAACTTTAATCGTTCGAAACAAATGTGGGTCAAACCTATGACCGTTTTGGCCAAAAACGGTCTTCGAATCAGTGACCGCTTTTATCCACCTAGGGTCAAACTAAGAGGAGATCAGATTTTGCCGAGCTCATGGCTTTAGGGAAATAATCCTGTTTGCTCAGTTACGTTCTTTTCCAAGTTTTAAGTTAATTATAGGGACCAAGACGTATCTACATAACAGAAGCTTACAGCCAGCCTTAGACTGCTAGCAGTCCCTTTTCAGGCAGTCGTGAAGTAATATGTATTAAAACTAGGACAAGTGCTTCATCACCGGTGATGAAGCACGACGCCCGAGTTTTTGACATGCAAATGCAAATGCAGATGTTTGACCTCAGATTAAAAAAATTTTCGGATGGAAAGCTGGTGGTGTTTTATCTGGTGTTTCATTAGGTATCAAGATTCATTCACCTAACCCAAATGGTCGTCATTTATTGGCTTTTGACTTCATGAATATTTAATGAGTTTGAGAATGCCAAATGAATGGCGAGAGAAACTGAACGAACCGAAAGGAAAGCTGAGTAGGGGAAAGGTTGGTTGGAATTCTTTTCTTTTCTTTTCTTTTTCCCCCCTTTTTTTACGACGTTTGCTCGCTTGATTCACTTGCCCGCGCAACAAACCTGAGTAACCGCTAGCATTCTATAACACTCTTGAAACCTTACCACGATCAACAGCCTCAAACACAGCATCGAAAAAAACGTCGCCAACCAAATACTCCTGGCGTGAATCATATTGAACCAAAAGGTGACGGCCACTGGAGAAAACATTTAAGTTGTAGTCTTTCCCACAAAACTTCTTCAATAAGTTGCTTGATGAACTTTTACCATCAAAGATCTTAAGAGAAGAACTGCCACAACTGTAACCCAGGCGAAATGCCTTGATTCTCAATCTCACAAGGTATCCCTCGGGTACTGTTATCACCCAAGTACACATGATCTTAGTCGGGTAGTCCTCCGGGTAGAGCGGCGAGAAGAGGCTTCCTGATGAACTCGTCAGGGGTATGATGTTGTTTTGACCTGGATTTTTGCACGCTCCCATGGCCGCTGAAAATTGAATGACAGTAGAATTCATTAGGCTCTGTTCACACTAGCTCTTATACATTCATACTCCGATTTTTCTGAGGGGTTGGGGCGATTGTACACATGCTGCGTCTACACATATAAGCGGTTTAACGCGACAATTTTCAGTTGATCGTTTTTTCGTGTACAGACGCAAATTTGCGCAATTTTTCAATGACAAATTTCGTTCGCGGCAAAACTGGCTAACAAAGCACGCGAAACGTTGTTTGTGTTCACGACTTGTCGTACGAATAATGTAACATTATCCGGCAGTGTTGATATTATTTTTTGTGGTCTCTCACGGTATCCATCTACTTACGGTCAGCTGTAAACTCTTAGCAGTAAGCATTAGATCCCGTCGACCAATACTCCTTTAGACAATACTGTAGTCTTAAAGCATGATGTGTTAGAGGTTATTACTTTTAGTCGTATATTTTATTCTATCTTATTTAGTTCTTTCTACAGCGTAATACTAAACAATTATTGGATGAGGTTTTTGTGATATCCGGAATAATCAAGGTCAACATAGGTTTTATCAGCCGAGCCGAAGGCCAGGCTGATAACATTACCGAGACCTTGATTATTCCGGATATTACAAAAACTGAATCCAATAATTGTTTTATTATACATTGTTTGGAAATAAATAACGACAAATACACCGTCGCACGGGACCGATTTGACATTGCACTTGGAAATTATGCACTGCGAGTGCAACCTACAGATTAGTCAGTTATCTTCTAGCAGATAATCAACTAATCAGTAGGTTGTGCATATTTCCAAAATTTACTGTAGGCTCTTAACCAATGAGAGGATAGATGTGAGTAATACTTACGGTTAGCGAGGACCTTGTAGCTTGCATGGAATCCTGGATACATTTTAGACATGTCAGCAACAAATTTTACGAACACATTTGATTGATTGGACACAATAACTGGAGGAAGGGAAGAACCACAGAATCTGCCAATTAACTCCGAACGCCATTCATAATTGTCTTTGCTCTGCCTAATTTCTACATAGTCGCCTTCACAGTTTTTGGATTGTTGTAGATTAAATGAATAAAATGTTAACTGAATGATAAATCCAACCGGGCGATTAATATACCAGGAACACTTGGCGTTATTAGGGTAATGGAGAGGATATGAAAAGCTGGCAAATTCTCCCTGATCGTCTTCCAGAAAACGTTTTTCTCCTAAACAAGAATAGTCTGCAGGTCGCTCCTTGATAGTTTCATACGTAGCTAAGAATCCATTGTAATAGGCCTTGCGCCGAGAATTATACTCAACAAGCAAACTGTCCCCCTTGGAGAAAACAACTTCCTCGAAGTATTTGTTGCAGAATTTTCCAAGTGATATGCGAGTAGAATTTGTCGCATCGAAAACGTTTACATAATTCTCTTTACATTCTCCAGAATTTTTCCAAAATGTTAACTTGATAAACTGCCCGATTGGTACTGTGATATTCCAAGTGCAGGTACCCTTTCCTGGAAATGAGGGGAAGCCAGGGGTGGAGAAAGTCAGTCCGTCACCATCCACTTGAACAATGCTGTCTTGTTTTGGGTCGCAAGTTCCTGATATAACTGTACATAAAAAATCCAAACATGTTTTTGCAATTTATAAAGCAAGTTTCATTAACTTTAGTTAGCAATTTCTGGTTGTTCCAGCTCATGCCCACTCTGTGTCAAGCAACTCTAAGCTTTTGAGAGAGTGTAGCATTGTCTGACAAAGAGAAACAGAAAGAAGAACTAGACTTTCGCCTAGTTAGCTCAGAAAGCCGGTAAAATGCCGCCATGCCAAGCGGGAGCTAGATGTATCAGAAACAATTATTGTCTACACCTGCCCCACAATGTAGCAGTGATTCTCACAATGATGTTCATTGAGTACATATTTCAAGAATCCAATACAGGATTAAAATTTTCATCAAATTTTCCTCGGATCTGTTTTTCGCATTCGAAAGAAATCAAAAGTCCCAGGGTTCTCATTAAGTGTTAAAGTAGACAGCTATGATGTAAAAGCAGGTGGCTTGGTAACTTGAATCGCCAGCCCTCTGGTCATCTTTTGCCATCAGTTTTGCCATTGCGTGCATTTCTGGACATCAGTGGCAATTTCAGGCTTTCACTCTCACTTAACCCTTTTTTTTTTCCCAAAAAGTAGACGGCTCAAACCTCCCAGTAGCCGGTTTTTTAACCGGCTGCAAGCACTTAATGAGAACCCTGAAGTCCAGCATCAATTTTTGCATTGCAAAAGTTTACTAGGTGTTCATCTTTGGGATCCGCGCCGAATATCACGCACAGATCACGAATCGCAAAAATCTGGTTTAAACTTGAATCCGCTCGGAACACTGATTCTTTAGACCTTAATTTTAGAAAAGAAAAGCAATCCGTTCCTGGATTGAAGAATCCGGATTTTGAGATAGATCTCCCAAAGAAACGCACCCTTAGTTTGGAGAAAAATTCAATAAAACCTTGCATCCCGGCTCACCATTAAAGTGATCCCAGCAATGCCATTCTCCCCCTATTACTGAATGGGTAAAGCTTCACGATCTCTTGCATAAAGAGAGCATCCCTCTCCAGACACACACAAATTAATTCACGAGTATCCATTGTCCTCTCTGTCCCTCCCTCCCCACCCCCATCCCCCCCCACCCCCGCTTTTAGCAGAAAATTTAAATAAGCACCAGGGCTATTATTCGAGTAAATACGGTATGTAATCAAACTGCTCATCAATGCTTACACCCTTGAAGATAATACCTGTAATACCTGTAGCATATACAAACTCGGTTCTAATGTACTTGTAATTCCACTGGTGAATTTCCAAGCTCGAAACGTTAGGAAAGAGATTGCTTATAATCACTTTATTTATTTTTATTCTACTATTTTGCCACACAGAATAAATTACAAGTAGAATAAAACGGTAATAAATAGGTTAATTAATATTAAATTTAAAATGAGCATACAACTTGAACGGGTGTCTGTGGCGGGGAAATCTCCGAGAAGCCGAGCTTATGAGGAATAGAGATTTGCCCCCAGCTAGGCGCAAGTTTAAAAATAAAGAAAAAAGACGTGTATTTTAAGTATATAAGTGTGTTTAGAGAAAAATAAGGTGTTAAGATATTTAGGTCGTATCTTGTCTGACCCTTAAAAATGGTTTGATCACACGCTTGAATATATTAAAAGTCGGGGCGTTTTTGATGTTGTTCGGTAATGAATTCCATATTCTAGGACCTTGAAACAGGATCGGATTTTTTTTAAATATTTGTTCTACAGGTGTGGGGTCGTTAAATTCAGAGTATCTTGTTGAATATTGATGAATCTGATTTCCAGTTTGAAAGATTTGGGTAAAAGCAATGGGTAAAGCGTCATGATGATATAGGTACATGAAAGAACTTACTTGGAGCGAGTAGATACTAAAAACATCAAGAATTTTCAAATTCGCAAAACGAGGTTTACTTGAAGCCTTGTAGTCAGCCTTAGAGATCGCCCGGACTGCTCTTTTCTGGAGTAGGTAAATTCGTTGCAGGTTGGTGACATAAGAAGAGGCCCAAATTAAATTGCAGTAGGTAAGATATGGATAAATAAGCGCACAGTATAGTGTAAGAAAAGATTTTGAGTGCAAATAGTTTTAGCTTTATAAAGTAACCCGACAGATTTAGAAATCTTAGCCGCAATAAAATTAACATGAGTTTTCCGCGTAAGGTGCTGATCAATATAAACTCCGAGGAACTTAATATTATGTACTTGTTCAAGTACATTATTTCTATAATAATTAACACCTGTCTTGTGATAGGTAACGTTTTTTGCCTTGGTCTGAAAATCATTAGTTTTGTTTTCTTAACTTTGATTGATAACTTATTGGCTTTTAGCCAAGTTGAAACATTGTGGAGTTGGTCGTTAAGATGGAGGGGAGGATATCCAGGTCACTATTTTCAAAAAATATACTGGTGTCATCAGCAAATAATATAAATTCGAGTTCATTAGAACTAGAGCAGGCTGGGAGAACATTGATATAAATAATAAATAGAGGGGCCCTAGTATAGAGCCTTGCGGTACGCCACAAATTTGTCTTAAAGCATCGGATTTAGAATCGTCAATTTAGACATATTACATTCTCTTACGAAAATAGTCAGTTATCCCGGCATTGATGGGCTGTCCCAGTGATGCCACATGCTTCCAATTTTGATAGTAGTATTTCATGATCCAGGGTATTAAAGGCTTTAGATAAGTCAAGAAATATTCCGGCTGAATATTTTTGGCAGTCAACGGCGTTAGCAGCTTTGTTCACAGCATTAATCAAAGCGGGGGAAGTAGAGTAGCCAGGACGAAAACAGAATTGATGTTTAAATAATATGTCATTATCGACTAAGAATTGAGATATGCGATTATAAACAGCTCTTTCGCGATTATAAACAGCTCTTCCGAAAACTCACGGCACTTCAGCTCATGCTTTACTTTTTAATGAACATAATTTTTGCGTTATTTGCTTGAATTGCGGTCTTTAAGCGCCCGAAAGTCGATTTGCCCGATGGCGTTTGCCAGGACTTAAGTCGATTCGCACGACGACATACAACACTCTACAACATGATGGTTCTCCGATATGTTATTTTAGTTAACCGTGGATGCCACATGTGCAGTCACTGTCTTTCCACGCATATTCCTTTTTTCAGCCTCAACGAACCACAAATACACATCGGATGAATCAACTTTCTCTGGGCAATCTGCTATCGGGCGAATTAACCTTGGGGCGAAACGACCTGAAACCATTTGTTTGATCATACAGATAATACATGTAGCTATCCACTGACAAACGTGCAAATATGTCAGTTTCTACATAGGTTTCACTAATACTGTACCCTTGACAATGGTCCTTTGATTGAGTAGGGTTCTTACCTGTAGGAACTGATCTAAAATTTGCAACAAATCCTGGGCCACTTGTACCATAAAGACTAAAGACATTGATGCTCAGTTCGTTACCCATGGAGAAAACTGTAAACGAAGCTTTTTGACCTGAACGTCTGATCGACTGATCTAAATTCCACCCAGGTAGAGCATCCGCAATTGTAACATAATCACTGTCGGCCAAGCTAAAGGAGATAAAATCAACTCGTACCACATTTCCCGCAAGTGCAAGAATCTTCCATGAACATTCACCGATCAGGTTATAGTTATAGCCCTGTGGAAATCCTGGCGTAGTGATGGTACCAGAGGAATCTTTGAGTAAAATACCCATGTTTTCTTCATAAGAGTTTCCAAAGGAACAAGAGCGAACTGCGAAAAGATAAACAGTAGAATCTCCCGTAAGCGACCACCCAAAATAGTTTAGTGATCGCTTTAGGGCTCTTGGAGAATTGCGGTGACGAGACAAGAGTGAGTTTACGCCACAGGACGGCAGGAAGAAGAGGAGGGCAAAACACTTGTTTGTGATAAGCGTAACAGGGCTATTACTTGCGTGCTCAACCTCGTTCCCAGGGTTCTCTCCTACCCGTCCCTACGGAGCGAGAGATAAGAGAGAGAACCTGGGAACGAGGTTGTTGCGTGTTTTGTCGTGATCTTCACTTAAGGTGGCTGAACACAGTTTTGGCGGTTAGTGAGTTTATGTCAATTGCCAAATCATGGCAAGATAAAGGTTGCAGCTGACAAGCTGAAACTTGGCAAGTGAAAAATATACTGATGAAAGATTTTCATTGACAGGTAATATGTGACGTTTTCGTAGTTTCCATGGCAACATGAACGACTGAATACAACCTAAAAATTTCACTTTTGTTCAGTTTACATAAAATTCGCTCATTAAAGTTTCCTATAAACTTGCACACACCAGCTTACTATAATTAATCATTACCATTTGAAACTTATTTGACGTGTTTTTACATAATCAATATAATTGTACTGTAATTATTAAATATGTCACAAAATTCGTCTGTTCAACTTCCATTCTAAAGTTCTCATTACTTAAAATACGATAAAAGTAAAAATTCTGCCAAAAATCACAAAATCTTAATGAGTAGATTTCGAGAAATCGTCTTCTGTGTTCCATTGCTTTTTACGCTACCATGTTTGTTTGTCTAATTCAAAACACGCGCGTCACGCGAGTTATCGTTCACTACCACCTTAACACCAATGTTTTCTGGTCCTTAACAAAAAAATCTGTGCAAAGGAAAGGGAAGTTTGACGAAAAGTTGTTTCAAACAAAATTATTGTCACGCTTGTCACACAAGATTTGCCGTCTTTTTTCCTCTCCTGTCCTGTTGCGTAAGTTCACTAAAAACGGCTGCAAAGGAGACTGGCGAGGTGGTCGATTACGAGAAGAGGTTCCGACACATCTACTTTTTGGCAGACAATTTATTGCATATTCCGTGTTGTCACTGAATGTAATCGAACCCAGATCTCTTGCCCACTAAGCTGAGTATAACGGCGCGCTGCAAAGCAGTGTTTTATTCAATTTGTTACCAATAAATTGGTAACACCTGACCAAAGAGAAGGTCAATAGAGTAAGGGCAGGATTTAGGAAAAACTTGAGAATATGTCCTTTGGGCAAGGGGCTCTCACATTTTGCCTGCCAGGCACCACTTCTTACTCGTCTTGGTTATATTAACCCTTTAAGCCCTAATAGTGACCAACATGAATTTTCTCCTAACAATATCCATATGTTGCCATTAAGAGAAATTGTTATGAGAGTTAATAAAATGATCATTATAGAGAAAATGCTTTGATCTGTCATCAAAGTCTCTCAACTAATTCTTCAAAGAAATGTATGAAGATCAGTATGGAGAAATTATATGTGGATATTGGAGCTTGAAGGGTAAATGAATTTGTTAGTGGATGACTTGCTGGACCCTTGCCCATTGGGTAAGTACATGTAAAGCTTTAACCCTTTAAAACCTAACATCAAAATTCAAATTATCCTTTGTTATCCTTATACGTTTTCAATAGAAGTAGTGGGGAGAATTTGTTGAGGCATCAATATTAGATTCATCTTGTGTGATCATGTCCTTAATTCTCATGACCACTCTGTTTAATAAAGCAGTGATATTACAAAGAGAAATTTGATGCTGATCACTCTTAGGGCTTAAAGGGTTAAACGTCTCTTGCTCAACAAGAATATCTACTTGTCCTGCCCGACTAACAGACAGGACTGAGTTGTTCAAAGTGAGTTAAGATAACCCAGGGTTAGTGTGAAATTTGAATTCAGATATAAAAGCTTAAAAAGCAAATTCAGTTTAATTCCTTCGGTCTGCAATTTGGTGATTGGATGCTATAAAAAGAATAGGGAAAATTATCTGAAAAAAGGCTTTTAAACAAAAGAAAAAGAAGCCCGGATTAAAATTCAACCCTGGGTTAGAGCTAATCGGCCTTCAGACAACTGGGACCAGGACTTTTTTTCATGTCCTAAAGGGAGCAAGGCAATGGCAATGCTTGAAACCAGACCCCAATGTCGTGTTTGAACCACTTTGTCATAATGCTTACTACATAAAAGAGTCCTAGGGTGCTTACAATTTACTTGGAAAAACTGGAGATTCCAGTTGGAAAGTCAAATGGTTTGTGCCATTCCGTTCCTGGGAAGCTTCCGAAAATATGGGCTGTGGTTTGCGATGAAGTAACTTTCTACTCCTTGTAGTCTGCTCAACTGATTTGGATATAGTTTGAAGCAGTTCGTCTTCCCACCAAGTCAAATTCTATAGTTTTATGTTTATAATGCACAGAATCTCCACCTGCAATCGGCGACAAAATTGTTGAGACATTGTACTTAACTAGGGTAACTTCGGAGAACAAAAGAATCCGCGCCCCTCCCCTGTCCCCTCCACTCAAAGTTGGGGTGTTTGTTGTTTTCTATAGGTAGCTAGAACAAGGGCACAACATTGCACGGAGGGGATGGGGGACGAAAGCAATATTTCCTCCTTCTGAAGTTAATAAAACGTAAAAAAGCCCAGTTTTGGGCGAAGTGTCTCAACTCATTTTGTGTTTTTCAAGGGAAAATTAGTTTTGACAATCTTTGTACTCGGTAGTGTTTTCAAGTAATTACGCAGCATACCCACGTACCGAATGGTTGATTTTCCTCTGGTAACTAAGTGTATTGGAATATATCCCTAGTAAGTTCAAAGTGTTTATTCGAAGTTTGGCTATTTGATAAGGGTGTGATGGACGATAAAATAGCCACGATTGCTATGCGCAGGAGAATTTTCAGGAAAAATGTTCCAACTTCTAACGCACAGCAAAGCTGCATAGCATCGCTAAATCTGTGCAGCAGATTCGTTGCCCATATACCCATAAGGATCTTTGAAGAACGTACTTTACAGTAGAAACTATGAGGTCAGGAGGAGACTGGCCACGAGTAACCACGAGTAACCAACTTTGTTCTTAAAAGATGATCAGATTAATTTTCTTTTATACTCATCGTGGTTACTCATGGAAATTCCTCCTAAAGAGCAATTTTAGCCATTATAACTACTTTAATGCCTAGAAATCTATTAAGTTTTCTATTCTTTTCACTAAAAAGAAACAAAGCTACGCGAAGCTATTTCCTCTCTTATTCTTTAGCACGCGCTGCGCGGTGTAGCGTGCTGCAGTTCCGTGCCAATTCGCACTGTGCTTTACAGTGCGTGACTTTTATTGCTTTAGCGGTTATTCTAATTGTTCTAAAATAGGTATGATGAAGTCGAACACAACAAATAAAAAGCCACCGGGGGTCTTACATCACAGCATAAAGAAATAAATTCAATTAACTTTCTAAAGGACGTACGGCCACTTTTGAGATTCAGACAATCAGTGACAAAATTGTTGAGACATTGTACTTAACTAGGGTAACTTCGGAGAACAAAAGAATCCGCGCGCCTCCCCTGTCCCCTCCATTCAAAGTTGGGGTGTTTGTTATTTTCTATAGGTAGCTAGAACAAGGGCACAACATTGCACGGAGGGGATGGGGGAGGAAAGCTATATTTCATCCTTTTGAAGTTAATAAAACGTAAAAAAGCCCAGTTTTGGGCGAAGTGTCTCAACTCATTTTGTCGCCGATTGTGGTTGGTTTGTGTAAATGGTAAGCACCCTTCTTCTTGCTATTTTCCTTTACTTTTATGGCTAATATAATCTCATCAACGTTTTAGTGATCTGGTAGCCTGTGCAGGGTGCCAAAAAAGTCAATTTTATAGCCTGCCATTCAGGAAAGCTCTAGCTAGCATGTACTAGCTAGCCCACAAGTCATTTCAACTAGACCCAAAACCCTTTTTGATTAGCAGGAATTATTACAATCCTTCTGTAATTTGAATTTTCCCCAAAAACAGCACTTGCCCATTGGGCAAGTTAAGAACAAAAATCACAATCCTGATTGCAAAATCCACTAGCCCCAGACTACTGGACACGACTTTCTTTACACGCTGCAGTGTAGAAGGTGTTTCTGCTCGAGTTAATGCACTTAACCTGGAACGAGAGCAAAAGAGAAAAAATAACCTTCTCCCACTCCTCTTCCACTCCCCCTACCCCCATGTTTTCATGCAACAACTCAAACGGAAACACTTGTAAAGCTAGTGATCAGAAGTGATTAGGTCACTAGCTACTCAATCCACTAAGGCTCTTGCAGAAATGAAAGCTCAGAATTTTCTCTCTGATGTGGAAACGAAAAATTTATTATGTTTATTTTAACAATGATATTAATATTTTTTGATTAATTATTATAACCAGTAATCTTACCTGGCTGAAGACATGAGTACTCAATAAATAACTCATCATCTGTGTTGCCACCACTCTTGAACGCAACATACATAGATTGAAATTTAGAATAGAGGAGCCCATACCGGTAACGTTCAAGGCCACGATCGGGAATATGAAATGGAATACGAGTCAAACTTGAACCATTGACATCATAAAACTCAATACTGTCCCCTAAAGAGGGTGGTGAAGAGATTGCCAACACAAGGTCCAGAAACACAGTGTTATTCTCAGGAGCTGTGATGTACCATCCACAAGTCCTCTTTGTTAAAATAGTAAAGTTTCCTCGTGCAGGTAATGTTGGAGCTACCAAGGTTATATTTTGAGAACAATCTGAAAAATAAACAACACAATATTATTGTGATGCTATTAATTTTATCTAACACTCATGTGTAAAGAGCAGGGTGCAAGGAAAGTCAGTTTTACAACTCGCCTGTGTCTAGCATCATGTACAATTATAGCTCAAACGTCATTTAACTATAGCCCTAAAATTTTTTTGATGAACAGGAATGATTACCATTTTTTTTTTTGTAATTTGAATTCCCCAAAGAACTTCACTTGCCCATCAGACAGGTTAGGAACAGAATTCACTAGCCCAATATGTAGGCACAAAGTCCACTGGCCCCAGGCAACCAGACTACTTTCTTTGCACACTGAAGGGCCATGAAATTATCAACCCAACCTAGCAAATGCAACCCTTGTTAAATAAATTTAAATAAAGAGAATGTGAATGGCAGAAACTTGAAAGTTGGGAGGGGGGAGGGGAAACCAGCCAATAAAATGTTAGAGTGGGGTGGGGGCAGAAGAGAATTGTGAAACTGGGGAAGGAGGGGTTTGAAAGCTGGCCCTTAAATTGGAAGCAAATTAGTACCTGTTTGGTTGGAGTGAATTTGAACCTTGCTGGGATCGGATCATGTACTGGGGAGTCAGCATTGGTATCATCATCTGGGTTTAGCAAATGTTTTTCAATCAATAGCAAAACTTTGGTAAACCTTTTGGTGACCAACCATGACCTTGCTAACTATTGCAATTAATTAAATTGATTGATTTTATTTGCAAATTATACAGTGAAAGCTCCCCTTGTGACCACACTCATAAGCGACCAGCTCTAGTTTCAACCACCTTTGTGAAACTCCGTTTGAGCTGTGACTTAAACTTTGTGATGAAANTGAAATTATCAACCCAACCTAGCAAATGCAACCCTTGTTAAATAAATTTAAATAAAGAGAATGTGAATGGCAGAAACTTGAAAGTTGGGAGGGGGGAGGGGAAACCAGCCAATAAAATGTTAGAGTGGGGTGGGGGCAGAAGAGAATTGTGAAACTGGGGAAGGAGGGGTTTGAAAGCTGGCCCTTAAATTGGAAGCAAATTAGTACCTGTTTGGTTGGAGTGAATTTGAACCTTGCTGGGATCGGATCATGTACTGGGGAGTCAGCATTGGTATCATCATCTGGGTTTAGCAAATGTTTTTCAATCAATAGCAAAACTTTGGTAAACCTTTTGGTGACCAACCATGACCTTGCTAACTATTGCAATTAATTAAATTGATTGATTTTATTTGCAAATTATACAGTGAAAGCTCCCCTTGTGACCACACTCATAAGCGACCAGCTCTAGTTTCAACCACCTTTGTGAAACTCCGTTTGAGCTGTGACTTAAACTTTGTGATGAAAAGCTCTCATAATTGGACTGCTCTCATAAGCAACTGCTCCCCTAAGTGACAGTGAATGCTTTTGGGATTACCCAACTGGACTTTTCCTTTGTTTTAAGCTCTCATAAGCCACCACTCAGAGTCTCATTCACATAAATCTACACTTTGATGAAAATGCACATTCTCTGAGGGGTCATTCTCGTAAGCGATCAGTTCTAGTTATGACCACTTTTCTGAGGTGTTTGCTTATGGGGGCTTCGACTGCAATCAGAAATGCTATATTTTTGTCTTCTCATGACAAAACATCCCAGCAGCTTCTGAAGATTTCCAAATGTTGCTGAAAATGTCCGAAGAATGTTCCAGTGATCTTTAAGCACCTCCAAAGCTATTTAAAAGGGACAAATTAAAAATATCTTAGCACGTTTTAAAACACTAAGGTTACAAATTGTACCTTCCGCAGCCAATGCTTTGATCAGCAAACAGAGTCCTAAAATTAGAGGACAAAAGAAAGACACTTGTTTTACACTCTACTCCAATGCTCCATTAAGCAAACTAGCACACTAAAAAAAGTTATTCAACAAAAAACTTTGATCTTTTTTCATTCTTCGCGGCATTCACCTGGTTACAGTTCAATGAGTTTAAACAAACAATGTTTTGGGGTTAGTAATCCAAAAAATTAATTTCGAGCCCAGTCTCTGATCCAGACATCCCTTTCGGGAGTTTGCAACTTGAGGCGATGGCTATAAAGCTATTCAAATATGTCATCCCAAAAGAAAAACAGATATTGTATAATCTGGACAAAATAATGATCATTTGAAGGTTATTAGAAATATTCCAATAGAATTATTTTAATCTTGAGTCCTTTGTGATCAATTGATGCTGTACCAAGCAAAACACTCTAAGGGTGCATTTCTTTACTAAAATCCAAGATCAGATGAAAAATCTGGATCATAAGGATTTTTCGTTAAGAAGAGAAGCAATGATCCAAGTTCAAGAAAGGATTATTTTTCATTCATTTCCATAGAAACGACCCACAATATTGAGGGTATCCCAGGCAAAAAATAACACGGCTGCTGACAATGTTGAAAGTTTGCTGATCTTTCACTGTATTCTGGGCTATTAGCTCAAAGATACTGCTTTAGACTGGCCAAATGAAGATGAGACTTGCAACAAGATATGTACTGGAAAAGTAAAGTCTTGCAAGATTCGCTGGCGAAGTTGTGTAGCATTTGTCCTTGAGAACAAAAAAAGGCAGGTCCTTCAGTTCTGTATTACAATTTTACCACCGCCATAAAACGAAAAAAAATTGATCGTACAATCCATGAATCGGGTTCATAAATGGCAGTAAAGATGAGCCGTGTGATCAAACAACTGATGTATTGTATTAAAATTGTTTTGAGTTACCACTGACAGTATTCACTCTTTTCGGAATCCCCCACCATTGTGGATCTTTTGGATCAATAATCTGTTTTAACTTTTTGGATTTTAGTAAAGGAACGAAATAACCATTTTCAGATTAAAAATCTGGATTGGGATTTTAGTATTAAAAGAAACCCACCCACTAACCATTAGCCACCCTTCTTCACCCCCCAGGGATTAGCGAAACTCAACACCATTGTCTGGTGGTCCCTGCATGCCTCAGAGGTCTCAAAGGTCAAGGGCTTATATAGACTCTCGATGAATTTTTTTAAAAAAATAATGATACTACAGCGTTAGACCTTGCAATCAATCAATCAATCAACTCCATTTAAACACGGTAAATGGCTCAGCGAGCTGGTTTTCAGACATGCCGTGTGATAATTACAAGTTATAAAAATTAAGACTAGCGATTAACTAACAATAATTAGCACAAGAATTGACAATTTTATCTGTTGCTACCGATTCTCATAAACGTGATTATCTAGTTTGTGTGGTAAGCAAGACTAATAATACTAGTAAAAAATAGTAATTATTTGAAATACAATATAACAACAAGAAATGAGTCATTAAAGAAATAAGATAAAAACATAATAAAAAGTTATATCCTAGGATATCGCGAGTTTAAAGCTAGTAAGATTGCCCATCCACATGTTTTATTTGACAGTTGGATGCCCTGCACAGGAAAAAGATTTAGCAAGGGAAATACTTGCCAAATTTGCTCGGGTACATATAAGCTTTTAATACATGAAGGTCATAGAAGCTGATGTGAAATGTCCCCCCCCCCCCC